GTGATGGATGGGTAGGTGGATGAATGGAAGGATACATGGACAAATGCATGTATGTATGGGTGGGTGGATAGATAGGTGGATGGATCATTGAGGGAGTAGATGGATGGCTGGGTAGATGGACAAAGGGATAGATGGGGGAGAGTGGTTGGATGGATGGCTGATGGAGTAGATGGGTGGATAACGGAGTAGATGGATGGGTGGGTGAGCGGATGAGGGAATGAACTATGATTACTGAGCCACAGCGCTACATCAAACTTTGCAGAGAGCGTGGCCATCAGCTCTTGCCTTCCTATGCAAGCAGTCAATGACATCACTTGTTAAGCTGTAGCACAATGACATCACCGCCCTGTGTCCCCCAGCAGACCCAGAAAGCAAACCAGGCCAAGCCTGTCACTATTGAGCTCTTCCTGAGTCCCAGCAACCTCATGTGGTAGAAGACGGAGCAGCCTCACGCTGTGCTTGGTGGTAGTCTTCATGGAGGGAGCCCTGAGCCCTGGTGGCACAGTAGTTAAGCGCTCAGCTGCAGACCAGTAAAGGTTGGCGGCTTGAACCCACTGTCCAGTCCCCAGGAGAAGCCAATGTACAGCCCTGGGCACCTCGTGGGATGTTTCTACTCTGTCCCATGGGCTTGCTATGAGACAGAATCGAGTCCAGGACCACAGGCTGGTCTCCATTGAAGGAGATCACCAGGCCTTTCTTATGTGGCTCTGCTGACTGGGTTAGAACTGGCAATCTTCAGCAGGTGAGTATCCACTGTGACGCCCCCCCCCCCCCCCCAGGGCTCCTCCTCAAACCCAAGGTCGTGGGAAATGAGGGGAACAAGTGGAAGAAGCCCTGATGCAGGCACAGATACATTGTAACATCAACCTGAAACCAAATCCACCCCCATCCCATCTTGCAGCCACCCTATGGGACAGAGCAGCTCTGTCCTGGCGAGTTCTGGGGCCCGTGAACATTTCCCGAGGCTGACCCGTGTGTCCAGCTCAGCTTTCTCACTCAGCCACACCTCGCTGGTCAAGTGGAGGAGCCATGACCAAGAGCAAGACCCCGAAGGAGAAGGATGGGCACAGTGGTGGCGACCATGGGCTCAGGCACAGGAGCAATGGTGAGGGTGGTGCAGGACCGGCCAGTGTTTCGCTCTGTTTGTTGTGTACGGGGTGGTTACGGTTCAGAACGGCCTCAATGATGCCTAACAACAACAACAACAACAACAACAATCAGGGCTTTTGCCCACAGTTCTTGCCCCTAGCCCCTGAGGGAGAGGAGAAGAGAGGCCACCAGCCTGGAAGCAAGGGACCAGAGTGGCTGGCTCTGTGCATGTCCCTAGAACCCCACAGTGCTGTATTCCATAGTGCACCAGGGCAGGCTTCCTGCATGTATCTGCCTCTCCCTTCCTCCCGGGAGCCCTTGAATGGCTGTAAGCTCGGGCTCCGAGCTTGTGGCAGTTACATCATCTGTCAATTTAAGAAGGGGTGGAGTCTGGCCTGTCAATCAGGTTCCAGCTTGATGACCTCATTTGGAGGCGCTATGGAGATAAATAGCTTGTTGGAGGCGGGACCCACGTTCAGTCCCTGTGAGACCTTCCTGCTGACAAGACACAGGGAGCTACCTAGAGCCCTGGAGCTGGAGGAGCCACAGGAGATCCCTGCCAGTGTTGAGATGCTTCCACCTCTATCGGATCCACAAGACCTTCCACCCACTGGCCTGTGACCTTCCCGCATTCGGTGTAATTGCATGTGCTGCGTGAGTTTGAAGAGGACTTTACAGACTGGTGTTGGACATACGGGATAATATCGGACGTAGGGACTTGATCTGGACTGGGATGTGTTCTCCATATGCAATTGTTCTTTTTTATAAAACTCTTTCTTATACGCATAGGAGTGTCTCTGGGTGTGTTTCTCTCATCTACACACACTCGCACAGAGCTGAAAGCTTGAAAGGCTGGGGTGGGTACAAGCCCACCCAGAGGTGCCGTGGAAGAAAGGCCTGCTTATGAAAAGCCAGTCCCTGGAACCCCCGCAGAGTGCAGTTCTCCCCAAAGACACACAGGGGGCGCAGGAGTCTGAGTGCCCAGGGAGGGAACTGGGTTTCTTCTTCCTGCCTGAGCTGTTCTGTACACCAGAGGGCCTTCCTCCTCCAGGAAGTCCTCCTCCATGCAGGGCTCAGCATGCTCCCAAGTCCTTTTCGGCCTCACGTGGCTCCTGGCAGAGTTCGTCTTGGCGCATGAGGGGTAGGAGCCTCAGTTTTGTGAGCCCAATCCTGTTTGCAGTTTATGGAGGGAGGGCCTTGTCCTGATCCCCACCGACTGAATCCTCCCTAGTAACAAGAGTGGTGATGTGGAGGATGGTTGCTGTGACCAGGGTGACCACCCGAGGGTGGCTGGGCTTTGTGACCAGGATGATCACATGACGGTGGAGGAGGGCCTTTGTGATCAGGGTGCTGAGGAGGAGGAGGGGGGTAGGTTTGACACGATGGTGGTGCTCTTTGTGACCAGGGTGCTGATCGTGGTCCAGGGCAGGCTTTGCGACCAGGGTGATGAGGGTGGAGGGTAGCCTTGGTGATGAGGCTGAGAACTGTGGGGGGTGGGCTTCTTGCACTGCAAGTGCCACCTCACCACCCCATGGTTCCTCCTCTTCCTTGCTCACTCCTCCAGACTCAGGGAGCCTAGCGAAGTGCCCATAGAAAGGGGGTTTTGGTGGTCCCCACTTACCTGCCGGCAGAATGAGTTCATGATGATGTACAGTTTCCGCACCTTGTCCTTCAAAACGTCCACTGGGGGCACTTTCCAACACTGGGCCGATGCCACAAAGTCCCTCAGCTTGGCCAGCACGCAGTAATTCTGGGGGTGGCCATGGGAAAGGGTTCCGAGACATCAGAGGGGAGCAGGAGGGGGAGAGGAGCTGGGGCCCATGCTTCCCAAATCATC